TTACACTGCATCAAACAACAACTACATCTCGTACTAGGCTTGAAAATTCTAGTTTTAAATAAAAGATTTAACGAAATGTGCACTATTTATTGACGGTATGACTGATCTTACACTTCTTACTCATTCCTCACTCCACTGAGATGCTCAAAAGACTTTTAAGGAGAGACTTTACTAGTCAAAGAAACCAAAACCTGGCCTTTGGAAAATAATTTGTGAGCTTTCACAGGGTCTGACTGAATACAAAGGTGCACATTTTCCAGTAATGTATATGCATTACCATTCCCTGGGTTTACACTTGCAGTCTCTGAATTAAAATGGAGCTTGCTTTGTGCCTGCAGAAGGCTGTGGTCCTTAAAAAGGATTTTTAATGACCACTCAATGGCCTGCTCACACTTACAATGAAACCAAACTACTGAGGACAGAGGAAAGGCAGCAGCTGCTTACCGAGAGGATGTTCTTCATTGTGATCACAAAGACATTGTAGGCAATCAGCCAGTCCCAGTAACGCAGAATGCTCCTGATGGGCTTCAGTAACAGATCTCCTCCAAAGAGAAGGAAATAAAAGCAGGCTACCAAGTATCCCATGCAGAATATGCTGATCCTCGTGGTTCCCGTTATGAAGATTATAGTAAGCACAAACCAGAAGAGGTAACTGAATGTTATCACCTTATACATGTCTAAGTAGGATCTGAAAGTAAAAGAAGGAGAAAAAGTTATCATTTTCTGAGAGCAGTGCTACCGTTCCTCTACCTGTGCTACTGGCCAACATTTGTCTGCTGCGGTCTGCTGAGCGCTCTCGTCCCACTTCATCATTCAGGCACCTGTTTCAGACTAACACCAAGTTCAGTGGGTCTACTCATCCACCAGCCTGCCTGGCTCATACACTCAATTCTAGCTCATTCATGTGCATCAGCACCTTGCTACATCCAGTCAAGACATTTTGCATCATGCAGGATCATGCCTTGTATCATGAAGGGGAGAAAACATGTTCTCACCAAACTTTATCACTCTGAGCATGGTGAGGCACTGGAACAGGTTGCCCAGAGAAGCTGTGGATGCCTCATCCCTGGATGTCTTCAAGGCCAGGCTGGATGAGGCTTTGAGTAGCCTCACCTAGTGGAAGGTGTCCCTGCCCATGGCAGGGGGGTTGGAACTAGATGATCTTTAAAGTCCCTTCCAACACAAACCTTTCTGTGATTCATGACAGAGTGACATTATCTGGCAATGCTACATATGCAATTTAAAAGCTATCTGAGATCATCTTTCAAGAAGTCCGAGCAATACGATAGCAAAGCATCTTCAAAAGCTACAGTGGTCCCCTGCAAACAATTCCATATTTATTGATGACTACTAGGGAATTCAGTCTGGTTAAAAGCTTAGTTTTCAAAGACAGCTGCTAAAAATACCTTTCTCCTATGGAGATCAACTGTAAAAGTTTTGAGGGGTAAAAGGTTTCTACAGAATGTAAATGTGATAGAATTTACTGAAACGTTTGCCAGGAAGCTAGGAGACAAAGCTATCTGAAATCAGCCTGGCCCACAGTGGGAAAGAGCGAGAAACAATTTGGTATTTCATATTCCTTAAAATCTTTACTTAATATTGACTCAGTGAGCTTTCAAATAAGAATATCTGCCAAAGGTAATACCGAATATTACATGTAGCTAAACACTGTAAAACCAACTAATTCTTAGTTTCTCCCCATTTAGTGTTTTGATTTCAGATGTAACTGTGTTTTCAGGGTCTGTTCACCCAGGCGGTGAAACTAGATTTGTCAGGAAACCAGGCAGGGAGACAGCACTACAGGAGTACACATATACCTAAGCCAAACCATGTAAGGAGTAAATTAACTAAATGCACTGTATGAAGCCACATAAAAAGGCCCCTGCTGCTTGATGTTCTCAGGCTCAGAACTTTCTAGGAGTATGTATTTATAGTCCTACATTTATAGGCCTGTATTATACATTTCACTTGCCAAAGCCAACCAGAGAGGCATTTAATGAAAAGTAACAAGGAAGAGCCTCTGTGTTTATTTCTCACAAACATTTACGAAATTTATGGGCTACTGCCTGTGAAATCTAAAAATGTTGTGACTTTAGAGATGCTACTGGGTTTGGGGCGACAAAACGTTAACAAAGAATCTAGACACACCGGAAAAATAGAAGTGGAAGACATTATTTGAACTAACTTAATATGAACTGGAAATGGTGTTTCTCCAGAAAACCCAACTATAATATCTGGTATTCCTTTAACTAAAACTACTGATGTGTGGGATGGCTAGGAAGAGATCCTCTTCCCGACACGGCTCTAACAATTGCGATACTTCAAAAATCTTGTCCTCTGCTACCAACAACATGCATCAGCATCTTTTGAGAAAAGTACAAAATGGAACTGAATTCATAAAATCACAGAATTGTAGAACAGTTTGGGTTGGAAGGGACCTTAAAGACCATCTAGTTCCAACTGCCCTGCCATGGGCAGGGACACCTTCCACTAGACCAGGTTGCTCAAAGCCCCATCCAACCTGCGGTGGGGCAGGGATGGGGCATCCACAGCTTCTCTGGGCAACCTCCTATTCCAATGCCTCACCACCCTCTCTGGGAAGAATTTCTTCAAACAAGCAAGAATGTCTTCATACTCTTCAGTAACAATGGACTCTGACACCTAAAGACAACTGTAGCTGGCTGGATCCAAACTTTCCAACATATACACATGGTTGTCACAGTCCAATAGCAGATCTCACTCTCAGACTAAAAATTCCAGAAATTACAGAAAATATAAAAAGGACAACAATGATTTAGCTATTTTTTCACTATAATGTTAATAATTTGCTACATTTAATACATGTAAAATATTAAATGGAATTGTTTTTCTCATTTTCAAAATACAGATTAAATATAATAGCATTGGACATCTCTAAACCAAGAAAACAACAACACAGGATGTAACGAAAAGCATCTCAAAAAGCAGGAGGCAATACAACTGTGTCAAGTGACAAATGATGTAGTTCTTAGAGACACATATCTTCATGATTTTTAAAAATATGGAATTACAATTATCAGCACAACAAGCAAGCCCAATCATAAAGATTGCCCTCCCGAATTCACCCTAGAGTGGACATCTTACAAAATGGCATTTGAACAAGTCATCCAGGGCACACCTAACCAATGAATATCATCAACCATTCCAGCTACCTCTGTGTTGTCCCAAGAACAATGACACATTGAACACAACAGAGAGAACAACACTCAACTTGTCTCAGGCGGATAAAAATATTCCTGAAATCACACTTCTTTCTGTTGCAATGTGCCAAAACTCCTTCTCTGTTACAGTGCAGAGTCACGCATCCCCCTAATTTTCATTGTTTCTAATGACATCGGTAGATCAAGTGCTGTAAGAGCAGGAAGGAAGACATGTCTTGGCGGGGGAGTTCTCAACATACTGCCTCTCAAATCACTTGACACATTGTCAGATGTAAATCTTTAAATTCCAGAAGTTAGGAAGTGAGGAGTTTCAGTTCCTTGCTCTGGAGATCATAATGCACCAGTGGGAGGCTGAAGCACAAAGCCATCCCAACATCTAAAAAAACCCTACACAAACCCAGCAGGTCAGTTACCCTCTGTTTGAAACTTCTTTATAGACAGCAGAAAATGCTTAGCCTTGGACAGCACAGACCATAATCTTATGCTTTAACTGCAGACCACACAGCAAAACGCCAGAAGTTAGGAAGCGAGGAGTTTCAGTTCCTTGCTCTGGAGATCATAATGCACCAGTGGGAGGCTGAAGCACAAAGCCATCCCAACATCTAAAAAAACCCTACACAAACCCAGCAGGTCAGTTACCCTCTGTTTGAAACTTCTTTATAGACAGCAGAAAATGCTTAGCCTTGGACAGCACAGACCATAATCTTATGCTTTAACTGCAGACCACACAGATCATTAGTTTAATGTCACGTAAACCTTCCAAATGTCATCTTGTAAGTGGTCTTTAAATCTACATCCAGTCACAGAGAGGAGAGGCCACCCTCAGGATGAAGTATTTGACAATACACCTAGGAAATCTGAGCAGCTGTTTCCCAAGAGGACAGTCACATTCCCCTTCATCCCCTCCGGTCTGAGTTACAGCCCCTGCTTTGGCTTTGGCTCCCTGAATTAGTTGGAAGAAGCAAGTTTGTAAAAGCCTATTTATTCTGAGAGGAGAGCAGAAAGAAGGGAAACTTTTTGCCCATTCAGCCTATGAACCAACTCACTGGTGGTGTGATGAATGCAAACGTGGGAGTGTGCAGCTGAGGGCCAGTATTAGAGCCACACATCTGAGGAAGATTAACCACTACACCAGTGTACCAAGAGCACCAAACCATGGCTTTTCGTAGCACAATAACTCTCTGAGTGAGAAATTATACAGCAGAAACCTGAAAGATGAATGAAAAATTAAAAAAATCTTGATTTGCCAACTGCGTCATTAGCAGCACCCACTGTCACTCTGGATAACATTTTGGAAAAGATTACCATTATCACTTTGTTCAAAACCAAGGAAGACAAAGTCTGAAGGTCATTCCACCTACCCATCAAAGCTACTGTAACCTCAGGTGGCTCTCCAAGTCAAATGATCTGCTGTTCTTTACTAAAACTTTATGAGCCTTATAAGGATTGCTTCAATATTTTATTTCCAAAGAAATTAATTCTTAACTGCAATACAATCCAGCCTGTTGCAAAAAGATTGCTCTAGGTGTAGTTGTGTTGACAGCATGCTCAACGCCCTCTGCCTGCTGGCACTGAGAGGTGCTGATGCTGCAGCGGATAACCCCTTTGAGGAAAAGTGTTTGTCCTCAGCCAGCGCTTAGAAGCTGGGGGAAAGGACACACTTCTGCTTACATGGTCTTGAGATCCTCCTGTGCTGTTGCATCTACCGATACAGCTCAATGCTGCTTCACGCTGGAGAACCTGCTGTTACATCGGGCCCATGCCTTCCCTCATCAGCCACCTGTTTTGCTCTGAGTGTGGCTACCCACCTCCGTGTCAGCCCAAGGTTCTTCCCACAGCCCTCTTCTGATGACTACCCCTCTCCTCTCCTCCAAGCATATTATCCCTATATATACACGCATTTTGTAAACTACCTCAATTCCTCAATTTTCTTTTCTTTCCCATCTTCCCTATCTATTATTCCTTACATTCTTAGCAGCCTGTGTGACCCTGCATCACAGTCCGTTTCCCCTTTTAAACCCAAAATTGCTAATTTCTCACCAAGCCTCCATCCCCAAAGCCTTTTTCTGTAGCTCCATTTCGGCTTCAGAAGGCAGCTTCATTGATTTTCTGTTTGCCAATAACCAGGTCCCTTATTTCAATAGACTTCTTTGCATATAGTGTCATGCATCCTATAGGTCTTAGTCCTTACTGATTTTGTCAATCCCTTTCCCAGGAGTGACACTATCTTACTATCACTCTCTTAGCAGTGAGGTCCCTCCTTCATGCTTCTATCCACTTCAAAATTTCCCAAATCCAAAACTGTGTTATTTGTCGAGGCTCATATTATTAGCAACAAAATGTTTATCTGTTTTACACAACAGCTATGACAGGAGGCCTGTAATGATGATTTGCAGATCCTCTCTCACTAACCCAAGTTCGAACAAGTATACTTCCAAGGAAGGCACTACAGCTGCCTTTGAGAGACTTCACCTGAGTCACCTGGCGACAGTTTCCCAGAGTGCAGATACTAAATGGGACAATGACTGGCTGTTACTATTGTTTCTGCTCTTAAGAGGAAAAAGGTAGATTACAGTCCCGAATTTTTCCCCTGTCAGTGTCTAGGAGAACATCTGTAAACTTCTTGGGAACCGAAACAAGGATTTTCCAGCATTAGAGACTGTGGGAAAGGATTATCCCCAGTGAAGTTGCTTTAAATCCCGTTTCATTTTAAAAGCTCCTACTTCTATTCTTCATTTTTTATTTCTGTTTCAAAGGCCGTTGGTTGTGCTCTCCCTTGGGGTCAAGCACATATCCCCTGAGAAAGCTGGGGGTGGAAAAAAAGAAAATTTCAGGAAATCTCTTTCTTAGACTGTATTTATCATTGTTGAGTTCAAGTATTTCTCCAGAGAGCAGAAAATTAAGCATTTGGAAATATGTTCTTTTTCTGCCACTGTTTATATTGCAGTTAAAACCTTTTTATCCATGCCTTCTAGAACAGTGACCAACTGCCATCTTCTCAAGGGATGACACACATCAGAAAGGGTGCTTCGGTCCGCAACAGTCACTTCTTTTACACAGCAGTAAATACACATCCGGCTTCTCAGAAAACACATTAATAGTAAGCACGATATTTTTAATGCATTGTAATTTATTCATAACCACGTTGTATTCACTTATTTGTTTGGCTCTTTCTGACTGACTTCTGGAGAAATGCCATTTTTCATTTCACTTGCTTGGATAAGCTTTGAACCAAGTTCTTGTCCATGTTACTAAATATTTAGACCATTTGAAACTTCTATGGCAAAGTGCAAGAAATATTTTCAGACAAAGTCCTTTCAGTTCCAAATTGTCTTGGATGGAGGCCATATACATACATTTTCTTCTGAGGTATATCTTCAGTAGATTCTCCAGGGCTTGAGAGTCTTTCTTTTTAAAGATTTATAATCCCTAATAAAAGATTCAGACACTTTAAGACATGGTCCAGCCATTCTCTGGTGCTTCTTTGAAGTAAATTAGGCATTTAAGATTGTGTATGTGCAGTGCAACCTCTCAAAAATAACATCATCTAAAGCCTGAGAAAATCTGCACTGTAGGAAAACCATTGAAGGAGACAGATAGGGGCTCAAAGAACGGAAAGACACCATCAAGAACACAAGATCGATTATGCGGATCATACTAAAGGAAGGTCTGTTCATACCTATATACACTGTTCCACAAGTATGCTCCTATTACAGATTCAGGAAGCTAACACTATGAAAAAAAGAAAAGAAAAAAAGAAGTTGCAGCTCACCTGCCTGACCATCTACAAGAAAGAATATCATAAACAGGTATTTCCTCTGTTCTTGAAATTAATGGGTTTTCTATTCATTTGATAGATTTCTCAAAAATCTAAGATTTTCAACAAAAATCTCCCACTTCTGTTTCAATCTACCGCCTTGTTCTTTTCAATCTACTTCTTATTCACACAACATAAAAATATCACATGAAAACAGTCGCACAGATTTCTGTATGTATATGGAACAAGTATAAAGTGATCACAGTTTATTTGTTCAGCTCACCACGACTAATGGGATACTTTGATTTTCTGTCTTTTTGTACTCTCCACCAGCAACATTTCTTACGGCTTCATACAAGTTGCAAGCTCCCAATTAAATGGTTGCGCATCGTTAATCATCTATACGCAGGACTATTTTGTCAGCACTTGCCAAGCAGTGTGTTTGCATGGGTGTGATGCCACCAATGACTTCAAGCTGATGCATACCATGCACACGAACCAAAACACAGAACTTAACCCAAAGGATTGTGGAGAGGCAGCAGGCCAGTTCAGCTTGGACTTTGCTTTCCATTATAAACCTGACTCTGATTCCCATCCAAAATCTTCAAAGAGCATCCTCCGGGCTTCCAAATTTTCATACTGGGCCATTTGGGAATATCTTCTACAGGCAACCAGAAATACCTATCAGATTCCAGGGAACTTTGAAAAGATGCCAAAAGAGGCTGTTTAAAAAGCAGTGATTTTCTTGTCTCTTTTCCCCTTCTGAAGACAGCCTTAAAACACATACTCATCATTCAAGATTTTTTTTCACAATGATTACTTCTTCTGAACTAAGGAGGGAAAATCCAACCTTTTCTTTCGGCCAGCAACCATGTCACCAGTGACAGTCTCTGCAGTGACCAATCACGCCAGTGTACCGGATGCAACTGCTGTATTAGCTTTTGCTGAGATGGACATCACTGCAGCTGCAAGAAGAAAACCTCAGGCAATCTCCCCTACACACTGCTCTCAACCAAGCCCTACCTGGCAGATGTCTTGGAAAGCATCCCCACCTGATGGAGCATTTTGAAGAGAGATTATGAATTCTCTCTTTCTTCTTATGTTACTGGATCTAGAGCACTGGGTCCACTGTATAGACTGGAAACACTCAAGAGGGGGGAAACTTTTCATGCCAGAAGTGACTATCTCTGGACAAATGAGTCAGATGAATGTGTTTCAACGGTCTCCCCTTCAAAACTATTTCAAGATAGATTTGGCCACCATTTCTAACAGAAACAGCAGGATCAGCTTAAAGATCTTGAGAAGGGATTCTGGTGATAGCAATTCTCTGGTAAAAGGAATAAAAGCTTATCAGCGAAAGGGAGATTTTCCTAGACATTAGTTCAATTTTTAAAATTCCTTTCACACTCAGACATTTCTTGCTAACATGCAATCACAAAACAAACACCTGGTCTGACAAAACACAGTAGAGAAGAAATCTCTTCCCATTTATTCTTGTAATATTGCACCAAACTTTCAGAGACGACTTCCATTAAGAATATGCTGAGCACAAGTCAGAAGAGCTGAGCTAATCCGTGTTGCTGAAATTACCACACAGGAATAGCTCCATGGTTTAAAGGCCATCCATGACAGACTGTCTCAGGCTCTGCCCTCTTCTTCTATTATTCACCTTCCTGAACAACCTTACATACAATGCTGAGAAACAAGAAGACACATCAGTTGTCCTTCCAAGACATTTCTAAGGTTCTTATGACTGGATAAAACAGCACAGTCTCTTATATTTGAGTATTTTTTATTGCACTTAGACAATAACTCAGGAGGACGTGACTGATGACTTTGTGGGATTAAGCACATACATGAGCAAATTTGGACTACAGTGGATTCTTACTAACATGCCTGTGTTTTGGGGGAAGTCACCAGAATGCTGAAGTCCACCATGAATGCTGCCCCACAGGACATTTGAGGGAATACATGCTTTCAGGCAAATTTAACACCGGACATCCCTCCAGGGAGCTTCTGGTTTGGGAAAGGGCAGATGAAAACAAGTCTTCCTTACACTGCTCATTGTTAGTGCTCCCTCGAGGGAACTCGTAACAATAAGCAGTGTAAGGAAGACTTGTTTTCATCTGCCCTTTTCCAAACCAGAAGCTGATTACCTAGCAGCTAACTATCTGCTGTCTTATACCGCAGTAAATGTATGTCACGAGATGGCAACATACAAGAATATGAATTTCAAGTAAAACTGGAAGTTGTGAGAGTTACTTTCACACTACAGAACCTCAGAAAAAGGAAGCATTGTATTTTCCGAGTGTTTAAGATTCAGTTCTTACCTGCAGTGAATGAAGTCAGGAACAGGATTATGCTGGCTAAAAGATGCCGCATCAAGATTCATGCAAATTTCCACATTGTCTCCAGCCATGATTCGTACTGCAGCTTTATTTTCATCCTCAAATGTCTGCCTTTGTAAGGATGCACACAGCAGCAGCATGAAATCATCTAGGAGAAAGCAAGGAAACATTTAGTCATTAACTGAGGTGTAGGAAGTGGTGGGCATACATTATAATGTAGTTACCAGACTCTTTTCCCACTCTTCGAACCTCCAAGGCTGTGCTATTTTCAACACATTTAACACTGATATGAAGTTTATTAATGTATCTAGTTTTTTTACCTGTGTGCTGGTTTTGGCTGGGGTAAAGTTAATTTTCTTCATAGTATCTAGTATGGGGATATGTTTTGGAACACAGTGTTGCTAACACAGGGATGTTTTCCTTTGCTGAGCAGGGCTTACACAGGGTCAAGGCCTTTTCTGCCTTTCACACCACCCCACCAGCGAGTGGGCTGGGGGTGCACAAGAAGTTGGGAGGGGACACAGCTGGGACAGCTGACCCCATCTGACCACAGGGATATTCCATATCATAGGACGTCATGCTCAGCATATAAAACTGGGGGAAGAAGGAAGGGGAGAATGTTTGGAGTGATGGAGTTTGTCTTCCTCAGTAATCGTTATGCCTGATGGAGCCCTGCTTTCCTGGAGATGGCTGAACACCTGCCTGCCCATGGGAAGTGGTGAAGGAATTCCTTATTTTGCTTTGCTTGTGTGTGTGACCTTTGCTTTACCTATTAAACTGTCATGGTTTCAACCCATGAGTTTTCTCACTTTTGATTCAATCCCCATCGCACCTAGAGGGAGTGAGTGAGCAGCTCTGCAGTGTTTAGATTGTAGATGGGGTTAAACCACGACAACCTGTCATCATCTATGATTCAGAGAAATAAATTAGAAAAGAGGAAATAATTCGTACTTTATGATGTTGCCTCATTAAAAATGGCATATGGAAAAACAGATGAAGAAATGACTATTTCTTTCAATTTTTCTACTGTGTACAAAGCCACACTTAGTATTCAATCTCCAACAGACTACGTCAGCTTGCTACTGAAGAGTAAATGAAAGGCTGGTTTCAAATTACACTGTACAGATGTTTTAAGCAAAGGACACATAAATACTTCACAACTATAAGCTAAAATACTTACAGACAAGGAAGACAGGGTTCGGTCTCACAATGAAGTCTGGAAAGTATAACCACTTTATGATGTTGGAGTTGAAGTTGGCATTACCACTTCTCCATGGATAGTCTGTATGACAGAAGCATGCAAAAATGCAATCATTACTTTATAACAATTACTTCATCCTTTTCTTCTGAATACTTATCAATTTTCCAGCACTTTTCTGTAAAGGCAAGCACTTGTAATTGTCTGTAAAGGGTAAGTGTCCTTACCTTTACAAGGAGCAGGTGGGATGCCAATGCAAAGGAAGTACTGGAATGTAATGATGCATGCCAGAAAACAGCAGTATTTTGGCCAGATCTCTGCAATAGCTTTTCTTCTACGTCGATACAATACAGCAATCAGACAGAAGGCATGAATCATGGCATAAAAATCCATTCGCTGACCGATTACATTCACTGAGAGAAGAAAACAGGTCTGGAAGAGAAGTAAAGAAACATAAACAACATTTGCAACCTGAAGGCTAGACAACAGTGATGAACTGTTCTGGATACTGAAAGATTGATTAGACACATGCTGGGGCTGACTGCAGCAACCCTGTGCAAACCAACATGCTAAAGCAGTTTGTATCTCTCTAACAGAAACCTCCCTCACCCCCCCATACTTCTGATAGTCTTCTATGAGTGTGAACTATGAGAATACAGTACTAAAGCAGGTTTCCATTACGTGATATCTAAAGATACAGAATGGAATATCCTATATGTGAAATGTTTAACTGTTGCCAAGCAAAGCACATATTCCACAGCCATATAGTTTGATAGCACTTACAGATGTGAAAAAGAAGACAAACTATTAAGAATAACAGCAACTAAAGTGTATTCTCATGTGGGAATTAGACAAAAAAGAAAAGGGATTTAGACCATACAGCTTCTACTGGCTGTAGACAAATCCAGTCAATTGCTGTAAGGCAGCTTTAGTTCTCCGTTCTTCTAAAAGCACTGCATCCCAGAGCATTTCTGCTCTCTGGCTCCACTTAAAGTAGTTCCTTTGCTCCAGGAAGGACTTTACTTCATGCCATGAAGCATGCTTCCAAACTTAGTGAATAATTCATAGTGAATAATTTATTCAGTGCATTTCACTATTTTGATGTTTTCTCTCCTCAGATTAAGATGAGGTTAAATTTATTTCCAGAAGGAAATAGCTTGCTGACTGATTTTAATTTTCACTCACTCTTAATCCTCAGACTCGCTCTGAACAGCTTACTCCAATTATCAGTAGCAAGGGGTGGTAGTGTTTAATAGATAGGTCAAGAGCATCATTATGATTAGAACTGGGATGCATTAGCCTAGGAGTTGCCTTCTCCATATAGCCATAGAAATTTGTGAAAAATCACTATCTCTACAAACAGTTTTCAAAGTACATTTCATGTGTCTGTTAACAAACAGACATAGTAAGAGAACAGAGGTGAAGTTATTTTGGGTTTGGTTTTTGTTTTGTTTAGTTTTCTTATTTGTGGCACTTGCTCAGCAACAGCTTGTCTTCAAGGCAGGTTCAGTTCTAATGCTTTGCTGCTGGATGAGGTGAAGCAGATAGAAGGAATACATTAGCTGAGCCTAAACCCCATCAGTCTGGGCCACTGCTGATGGCAAACAGACAAACAGATCTTCTGCTAAAGACCTACCAGATATTTAGGATACATCATGGATCTTCAGGAAAATCTCTACTCTCCTTTGTACCTGCCTCTCCTAATTCTCTGTGTGTTTCTTGTCCACTGGAAAGTTCTTTGGAGAAAGAACTTTGTCTTACACTAGTTGTACAAAGCAGCAATAACCTTTGCTGGAGCTCTTGCTTCTGCCAATTGCTAACAGCTATGATAACAAGTACATAAAATATATTTGGGCAAAAGACGCTTAGAAATGTTTAAATAGAGACAATGGCCTGCTAGCCCCTGCTTTCTTCATGTGCTCATGCAGTCCCTAGTTTCCTGTGTGTGTGCATGCACAAGAGAGAATGCTGCGGTTCTGTCCCTTGTCCCATCTGTTATCCCTTTTGTTGAGTTAGAAATCAGACATACAAAGAAAAGCAAGAAGAAAACCAACAAATAGCAACTCTGGCTAGGTCTAACATGAGTGATGACTAAGAAGCATCCAGCTGTCAAACACAGTGCAAGAATGACACAATCAAAAGGTATGGAATGACAGACTAAAGAAAATGAATACATAGTGATTTACCTCCAAACCAAACTTGTAGAAGAAATAGTTTATGAAGTACTTGACACAGTTTACCAGACCATCATCCAGATGTGCTCTTGTAATATCATGGAAAATGGTTTTGGTTACAGGTGTAGTCAGGTTATTTCGACATCTGTAGTACTCTTGATGACGGTAGATTGTAACTTCAAAAGCCAGAATAGCCAGCATCAGTAAGTTATTCTATGGGAGACACAATCAGAAGAATATTAAATAAAAACAAAAATCTGTAAGAAGCTATAAAATTTTCTGATAGGCATAAACCAATGAATACTCAATGGATGTTACCACTGAGTGCTTCCGCACTCCAGGATGCACTGGCACCTATTCCCAGCTTCTATAATTGAAACAAAGTAAGGTTTCAACCACCTCTTAGGTTTGGATGAAGCATACTGACATCCAGAAGATACATTTAAAGACATTCATTTAATAATACTGTAATGAATGAACACTAGTTGTGGAAAGGAAGGGGAGAGAAAATGCATTAAGCCATGCTTTGCAGGAGATAGAGGATACAATCATACACAAAGTCATCTGCAGGGGTTCAGCTGGCAAGCACTAACTTCCTCAAAACTGCAAGGATGCTGGGTACTGCAAATATATCCTGGATACCCTTTTAAATGAACAGTCTATCTGCCAGCCTTCACACATGCACAGCTCCTTCAGTCCCAAATCCAGACTGACTGGGATGCAGTCTTGACCAACTCTGAAGTGAGCTGTTTTCTCACAGGAGGGATGTCTGCCCTGTGCAATACAAGAGAGGTATTAACCAACTCCGAAAGTTGGTTGAAAAGACCAGCTCAGAGAAAGTCTCCCAAGGAAGCCATAACTGAAGGGGAAGAGGCAATCTCTAGATCTCTGCTCACTGAGAAATATTGGGGAAAAGAGTGTCCTGAGACAGATGTTACTGGGTTTTTAATTTGGTTGATTTTTTTTGTTTGTTTGTTTTGTTTATTTATTGACAAGAAGTTAGATTTGCTTGCTGTTTCTGTGCTTCCTATTCTTGTTGGGGAGAATTTTACACCATCCATCATAGATAGACTCCTCACTTCAACACTGCAGACATACTGAATGTCTGTTACTAAAGGGGCATAACAGAAACACATGAAGACTTGAAGCCTGGGACCTTAAGATCTAGCACCAACCTGAATTCCCCTGTGTACAGGAGATGTTTGTTAACTCAATGAAAACTCTTCTAGAATTATTTCTAACCCCAAAGCATTATCTATTTATAGCTGTAAAGCTCCTAGCATCAAGGCAGACACCACTAGGCAACTTCACTCTCCATGCAGAATTGTTCCCTAAACAAACAAAGCACACAGGGGTAAGCTCTCAGGGAAGAAATGAGGAATAAATCCGATTAGATCAAAACTTGCTGTTGTTCTGTCAACACATTTCTGACAACCTTAAACTGTGTACACAAAATTTTGGAGATTCTTTAAATTAAGAAGTGGCATGCAAGGTTTGCCCCAGGAATTGGCACGCTTTTATTGTAAGAAGGGTTTTTAAATCGACATGAATAATAAAACATTGCTTACAGACATCAACCGAAACAAGAAAAACAAAAGCCATCCATTTACTAGTGCCTGAATGAATTACTCCCTTAACTCATATTTTTAAGCTGTGGCTAAGGAACAGCACTATAAAAAAATTAACTGCTTATAGAATATACTGTCATTCAAGGCAATCACTCCAGTTAGACCTGTCAGTTCTTTGGTACCTGAGAGCTATGCACCTTTTAATTACTTAGAGTTTTCAGATATCACATTTCATAGAGTGCTTTTAGCAGATGGTAGAGTCAAAAAACCACACTTTGACATGCAGATTATCTTAATTGGTACTGAATTTGTTCTGGAAATGTCCTGCATAACACATATGACTTTATGCTGTCTCTTCCCCTCTGTACTTCCCTATCATCAATGGCTTGCATTATGTTTTTGTGTGTGGCAGACGTTTTATTACAAAGACATTGCTAATTTCATCACAAATAACAAAATATCTTAATACAGAGAGTTAAAAAAGTTACCCTTAAGTATACAAGCAGGGGATAAGATTTCCTCAATCCAACCCACTCTGCAGGATCAACTGGCCCACTGTAGAGGACTGAGGTTTTGAGTTCTTCTAAATTGACCTTAGTTTCATTCTCTCCTGGCTAAAAAGAAAATGCAGAAGTTTATAAAAAATGAGTTTAAGGTTGCTTGGGGAAGGAATGAGTATCAACAACAATGCATCAGGTGAACTGTAGTTTTCAGTACTTGACATGCTTCCTTTTGCTCTTCTTCATTGAAGAAGCAGTCAAACCTTTTTAATATGCACTTGTACTCACCAATGTACAGTTACTGGAAAAAGTGCTGGGATCAATAGATGTGAGCTGGTACAACATTTTGCAGACAATAATCACACATGTCCAAACAGTGCAGATACTTGATGCCAATGGGCGAAACTGAGCATATGGCAAAGCAAGAGCCCAGGCAATTAAAAACACAAAGTTAAACAGAGACACCTGAAAACACAAAAACAGTGTGAAAATTACATGGAGTAACAAGAGAACTGAGAAATCTGACCTTTTCCATAGTAATTAAAAACAATCATTCAAAGGAAAGGAACATAGAGAAGCTGTGAGAAAAATACTGAAAAAAATATACAACAATATTCACAATAACACAGAGACAAAGTGGTAAGTGAAAAAGGAAAAACTTCATAGTCGATTCGGGAAGAACTTTATCTCCTACGTAATGTTAATACTATTAGACCCACAAAACTGCGTACCCACCCTACAAACAGACATGAAATACGAAGCACCACATGCTGGTTCTGCTGCTTTAGCGCACATAAAACAAAGAAAAGGTGATACAGAACTGTGTGTCTGTGGAACCCACCTTCATCCTCTTGACCTTTTTCCCACAGAGATGTGAGAAGAAGCATTATTTTTCTTAGTGAATCCTGTCCTTAGTGAATCACATTGCCCACATCAAAGGTACAGCTAAAAGTGTTCTCCCTTTTTCTTCAGGTGTAGTTCCATGTTCCTGTTTCTTCAGCACCAGACCCTAATTTTCCTAGTTATTCCTTCCCAACCCTTTTCTACACTTTCCACCCCTGGATGATGCCCACAGCCAGCTTGAGCAGGGGAGGGATTATGTCTCGAGTCCAAAGAATTAGACTAATAAAATCTTAGAATCTGGAGAAAAGGGGAGAGTGAGAATATCTAGGCAGGCAGAATATCACTGTGGAGGATCTCAAGGCAGGTCCCCAGCAGCTGACAAGCCCATCTGGATCCCACAGTTTCATTGAGGTCTGACATGAGGAAGGGATTTCCCTACTCTTAGGTGTGCCGCTGCAGAGCAGATGCTGACAAGCTTCCACCATGTGTAAGATTTTCACAGTGGGTGTTTACTTGCCTCTTTCACTGTGACCCAGATGATGTAAGAGGAAACAATTTTGATGATGTGCAGTTCCAACAGCCACCACACAAAGACTTGCATCTTATGGAAATACTCCAAGAATTTCAAAAACAGCACTGTAAGGCGGTCGATCACCAGATGCCATTTGTTCCTCAAGTCTGCAGAGATGTTCAAGCAAAACCGTTGAAGGAGAAAAACAGGTCTATGTAAAAAGGAATGCTCCACTAGACAACAATGAGCTTTCTACTTCTCTTCTACACCTTAGAGTAAGACAAGAAGGAGGTTAAAGGTATGGTTCAGTGGTTAACTAAGATTAAATGGGGCTGAGGCTCACTTAGCTGTGGTGTTCTTCCTTCTGACCCACATTCACTGAAAGGATTCCCCACTTCAGAAGTGGTGGCGGTGTCTTATCTTGCCAATTCTGCTTTTATTCCTCTCAACAGAGCCCTTCTTGGGCTCTGTTTTCCTTCAGTATCTTTGGAACTAAGCTTAGAGAACCCATCCAGGGACTAGAATTGAGACACTCCAGTCCTGGCCCTTATCCAGCTCAGAAAGAATAGGAATTTGTTCAATGTTTGGAAGCTATGGAGTCAGTCTGTTTTCAGAAAGCAGACGACTACTACTACTACTACTACTCAGAAAGCTTTCCAGCAAAGAGATGTCTGAACACTCAGAGTAGGATTCTTGTCCCATAGTTTTTGAAAGCTACACTATAGGCATCTTCATTTGTCAGTTATCTAAAATGCCTTGCAGACAGCACACGGTTCTAGAATGTGATATGTGCCATCCCAGGACAGACATCTGAGACAGGCAAGGTGAACTGTAATCCAGCTGAATATTTCTCTCAGCTGAAAAGGGAGCTTCAGCAAGTTAAGATCCTTAAGTTGGTTAAAGGTATCCCTTCACAGGTAGTATTTTACTAAAAAAGCCATCTTCCCAAATAATACCCCAGTGAGCAAGCATGTGGCAATAGCTAATATACATGGGTATATATGACAATACATAGGCTGAACAGTGCTCTCCAAGTGTCATCTTTGCTTGTGGGCTGGCAATAAAGCTGTTTCATCAGGCTGGTATATATTAGTATAACATCTTCACACTGTATTAGGGGTTTTAGAAGCACTTTGGAGATTAGGAAGGATTTTGCATGCTGTGAGAACAGTCTTACAGCTAACAGCAGAGGTGGAAACATTTGCAAGTGACACCGAAACACATCAGTGCCTAAGCTGCTAAAAACGCAAAGGAGTTACCAGCTTCTGTATGTAATTATTTCAACTTATCTGGTTATTTTATACACCAAGCAAACCGAGATGGTTATTCTGTGCGTATTTGTGTGAAGAACACATGCACACTTGTGTGCAAAAGCAGACTTTTGGAATACCTGACAACCAACTTCCATATTTTTTTTTCTTCTGCCCTTATTCTCCAACCACAACTTAGACAATCCTAACAAAAATGCTGAGTGATGTAAATTCCATGAGTACAAAATTAAACTTGACAAATTAATTAAGCTACAGAACTGTAATTCTACACATGTTCTCTTACAGGCACAATGTATGTATTAAAGGAAAGCATTTATAGAATTAGATGTTCTCACTCGTTTTTTCATAGCATTTACTTTAATTTGCAGTGTTGATACCATGCAAGGTATGTCCAGACAGTGCCAGTCAAGTGGAGCAGGCAGAAAAGGTACTGTAGCAAGCTCTGTCTCATGTGTTTGGGCACTACATGCACAGGGGATAAAATATAGGTCTGACTGCATCCATTGAAAAACTGTACATCACTCTCTAATAAAGGCTGCACATGTGAACATGTTAAAATAATGTCAAAACTCCAGACACAAGGCTCTATAAAAATTTGGTAGAAATAAATGCATGTACAACTTAAAGATGGATCACACATGGGAAGCAGCACCTCGTGCTACTGCCAAGCCCCACTTGCTGCAGTGTAACAAGGGTCCTAGGGAGATGTCGGCAGCTCCCCGCTTCCCTGCTTGCATGTGTTTCCATACAGGATAACCTCCACCAGCTGGCCTCTCTCCCCAAGCCCTTCCAGCATGCAGGGATGGCCAGCCTGCAACAAACTCAACACTCCCCATAGACTGCATGAGAGCTGGCCAAGAAAGGTTCCCATGGCCCATGAACACCTCTGTGAGGGAAGATGTCTCAGCAAGGAAAGGGAAATTGTTTCAGCTCAGTTTCCCTGGGGCAGCAAAGCCAGATGTGCTGCCAGTTTGCCTTAAGAAAGACTCTGTCCCTATTTATGGGTCGCAGTCCAGTGAACACCGGCATGAGCAACTGAATCTGTGGTAAGGCCATTTCCAAACAATACAGCTTCTTTGGGTGTTGAATGTTCTCCCCTGGTTTTCACTCATGGCTCATATTACAAACTGAGTTACGGAAATATCTCACGTTAGGAGTTCATCCTAGCAATATCTAGGATGACAACATCAGCCTTACCCATGTCTGCCCTTAAACATTTTTACGTTCATCTGGCATCAATTACACATTCCATATTCAGAAGAGAAAAATATAACACTAATGTGCACATGAATAATGAAGAAAAGCCATCGGGAGTTCTGGAGTGGAGTGCCTTGAAAGCATGCAGTATTACAGATTAAATATGTATGTGTATTTTCTTTATTATAAGGAGATTTCCCTCTAAAGGAGTTCTTAGGATTTGGGGTGCTCTCCTATTAACCCAAGCCAGACCACCTAGAAGAAAGAGGTGGAGATTTGTTTGTTTTCATCCTCTCAGCATCCTAGAGAAACAGTATGATTTTTCCCTAGAATAGACAGTAGCCTATAGAGTAATTGACAAGTAGCCATCTGCTCGGTTCAGGCTGTTTTGGCAAAGACTTTATGTAAAATTAGAAGGAAAACCTGATGATTGATGTGAGCAGGGATGACCAAGAATGAACTTACCTGTAGTTTCTTCCTCCTCTGATTCATTGTCTTCATCATCATCATCTTCCTTGTCCTCATCTTCTTTTTCTTCTTCTTTTCCTTTTTCGACCCTCCCTTTCCCTCCCTCCCCCTCTGGCTCTTCCATTCTTTTCTCACCAGCCTCTTCCAGCATTTTATCCTCTTCCTTTTCTCTGCTGGCTGTTAAATTCATCATAGTTAGGTCAGGCAGGCTTCCATCTTGGTGCACCAGTCTGTTGGTAAATAGTAGCAAGTCAGCAAACTGAGCAGTAATGACACTGTAGTCTGTTTTTCAAGATGTATAATTAGGAAAAAAAAAAAAAGGTTCATGGAAAATGCCTTAGAAGTGGAAAAGTTAATGATTCTGGTACTTTCTCCAAACACACACTGCAAATTGAGCTGGAATGTATTAGTAACTACTTCTCACTCAGATACTAATGGTTAGTTAGTAATGAGTGGTATTGACACTTAAACTTGACATTTTCCCCACTAGAGAAAATGGTCAGAGTTTAAGATGTTGAAGCATGAAATGACATTGTTTAAGAGGAAACATTTCATGACTTCATAGGGGACTTACTCATTTTGGTGGTTTGGTATTTTTTTCTTGAGGCTGCTCAAAGTAATTGGAACAGAAAGAAAAAGGGAGATGAGAACAGAGGGGTTACAGAAGAAGGTCATCGACAAATATGTCATGCTACATCACAAGTCATAAAGCATTCTCCTACTCCATCTGCAGAAGCCTTCCGATGCCAAGAGCACAGCATGCCATCATGACATTCACAGGGCGCTGCTATAGAGGAACACGGAATTGCAGGACAGGTGGAAAGGGGGCATCCTATTTACACCGGCACTAAACATGGTCAGTGCTGTACCATGCTGTAAGTAATGGAGCTGAATCACCTCAAGTATCTGACTGGTTACTGTAAATGCATTTCCACCTTCTTCCAATTGAAAGAAGCTGGGAAACCAAGGGATTTGCAATTTTTCTTCCAGCTATAGGTTTGGGAACAAACAAACGCAAATATTCCATGGCTGTGGCTTCAGTATATTTTAACACGTCTGTCTTTGATAGCGCTATTCATTCTCTCTCTCTTTTCTACATCACACTGAGAATTTTTCTTAGATTTCTAACTGTCTCTTACTAAATCTATTAGTAACTTTCAGACTACCAAAACCAGGTTACAACTGATATAACACAGAAATGGTATTTCTCTATTGCCATGGCATCCATTTTTTCTGAGGTTTATTCAGTACATATATTTTCTTTACTGAGAAAAGAAAGGTTTATTCAGTACATATATTTTCTTTACTGAGGCATTCTCTTATGGTTTCAGATGTTTTAGTTTTTCCCAATTCCCCAATCCTATGTGCTTTGATGAGCACAGTGTTTTTACTGCCATAAACAGTCCCTTTGAATATGACTTCTTGCAATAATGTGTCCCTTTGGCAAGTGCGTATCTCCATGATCAGGCTACTAAATATTTAGCTGTGTTATTGAAATTACTCTACTCAGCCTACTTTTAAAGCACCTGTTGGACTTCTGGACTAATGCAAGTAACTTTAACACACTACTGTCTCAGGGATTTATTTTTCAAGATGTGAAATTCTGGCATATTACCATTTAGACAGGAAATTCTGCCATTTTTAACTAGGATTTCTATAGTTCAGGGAAACTAAAATTCTGTATTTATCCATCTGGGCATTAAAAAATAAGAACATAGGCTAAGCAGTTAATGAGAAAGTCAAACAAGCAGAATTATCTTTCAAATATTTGGGAGTTGCAGTTTCCTCAAGATGGAAACTCTCGTGTCTCAAATTAGGGAAAAATGACAGAAATGTGACTAAACAATCCTGAAGCAGAAATACCATACCAATAACCAAAAAGCAGAAACGTGGTTTAAATGTAGAAGTTTAACAAGACTGTCAGGAATCAATCTCACAGAATAAATACAATAATAAGAATGATTACAAAAATCCTTCATCAGAGATGGGCTGACGAATCCATGTCCAATAATATGAAAATCTCTTATACTCAACACCTTATTTAGTAACTTTGGCTACTGAAATAGGACTTTTTGTCCGATATATTTAATTTTCATGTTTAAGCTAGTGTATATACTAAAAGGTTATTCAAATTCCTGCAAAATGACTAAAAAATAATATTCCCTAAAATTACATAATCTAACTTAGCGTATCTAGGTAAAACTCTAATAATGTACCAAGAGAGTCATGTATAAAGAAGAGAGAATGAATTTTCAGTTCAGTTCAAATGTTATGGTGATTCCTGATTGCCATAAATCATCAGAGTCCATTTAAAAGGCAATGCCAGATGAAATTAAGGTATCCGTACAATCAGACAGGTTTTGTATATGTGCAATTGCATTGATTTTAAGGAGGTATCTTCCCAACTGACTTTTAATGGAAAAACCTACATTCACACTGGTGTAAACGACTTACTGACTTACCTCAGTGTAAACTGGACAGGAACAGAGTAACCCTGTAGGATTTTGTATGAGAGGACTCTTCTTTCTCTGATTCATATACCTCCCATTCGTACCCACAAGATCCAGAAGGTGATGGGGTTATAAAAATGGGTACATGTAATATACATACCTGATAAAGTCTCAGTATGAGCTTAGTTTTCAGTATGTTGGCACTTAGTTCTACTGGTACCAGGAGACTTGAGCACAAGACCATGTGCTCAAGGGATCCAAGGCTTGGTAAAAAGCCCTGTGTATTCTAAAAGTTAGTCTCCTTGCATCTTTCCTCTCAAACCTCCTCATTTATTACTAGGGTTGCTCTCTCCCTCTCTTTTTTTTTCTTTTTTACGACAAGATCACATGGTATTGTGTAACAGACAACAGTGGGGTATTAGGATATAAAAACCTCACTGGTTTAGAATATCTAAGACAAGTGACCCATACAGGCTGCACAGCAGGTCAGGTGTAACTTCAAGTCGGAAAACATATACTGGTGGGAAATTATCAGAAATAACACAAATATATTGTGTCTGATACTTAGGAAGGGGAATAACTAAATAATAATGCAGACAACAAGTCTTGAAGGTACAGCCACTAGTGCCTTAGCACCTCCTATCCTCAAATTCATTAAACAGGGTATCAATAACGGGAAGTATACTAGCATCTCTAGTTTCAGGCGTCAAAGCAATTTCAGAGGCACTAAAATCAGGCATGTTCACCACGTGCTTGCTGGACTCCTAATATGTTCATCTATTTGTAATTTGCTAGAGCAGAAGATTAATTAATAACAACTTACTGGGCGCATTATGCAGCGCCTTTTGCCTTTGAAAATGTCTTTGAAGTTTATGAATTACTTGAAACCTTCTCACTCAAAACAATTTCTCAAGCATCTGCCATGCACAGCCTCAATAACAGAAAGCTTTCTGCTCTGGAGAACATTAGTGACCCATCTCCTGAAGACTCAAACCAAGCACATAGTGCCATAACTCCATTGGCAGACCCCTGAGTGCTTTCCCTGCCTCACAGGTGGTTTTGCTGCCTGCATCCGATGCCAGCTGGCTGGTGTGCACTGGGGTGTCTGCAAGCCAGGAAGGGGTCCCTCTCCTTCTTTTGGGAGCTGCTTTGACACTGAGGCTCTTGCCCCTACATTGTGCCTGCATCGCAGTCGTGTCTGCGCCTGCTCCCATCCCTCCCTGACCCTACACCCCACACACAGACTGACTTCCTGCCTTCAGCTCCAATCTGGCTCATCTCTATGGGCTTGGTGGGAGCTCCCCTGGCTGTGGCTGACCCTGGTTACCATCCCCGGACAGGGGAGAGAGCCCAGCCTTGCCTCCTGGTTGTGCACATTGGCTCCCTGACAGATGGGCTTCCAGACCAGGTTTTCAGCTCTGGTGAACTTTTAAGAACCCTGGCCTAAACTATGTGATGACATTTGAAGAAGGAGAGTGAACATATCACATAAATTAACTTCTTAGAGCAGGTAGTCACAAATATCTAAAAAATGGATTTTCTGTTTATATTCAGTAGCAACAACAAATTCAGAAGTCCTTCTATTCTCGGAGCTGATTAACCAAAAGCTCTCATTTACTCCAGTCAAATATTCTGAAAAAGATTTACTTTATGGAACAGTTTTCAAGATGCCATTTATAAAGGGATGACAATGACAGCAACATGGGCTTTCGGAGTTTGGATACTGCAGCACCCAACTCAGCCTATGAATTAACATCCTTAGCATGCAGTGGTTTCCGTGTAGTGCATGTTCCATTTCTGTCTCTGAAAATCTCAGTCTGTACAAACTCATAATACAAACTGCACATTTAATTGATCTGGCCCTCAAATTCTCTTTCTTAGGTGCTTGTGAGGAAGACAGGGACGTGAGTCTGAGTGTCTGTCTGTACGTGTGCACATGCAAGCATGCAACTTTCCATGCACAAACAAAGGGTAGATAAACGAGCCTCCTCAACCAAGTCTGTTGTCTGCAGCCAATTACAAATAGCGCCAATTATTCCTGTATCGAGGCATGGGCAAGGTTTATGAGAAGAATTCCCAGATGGGAGATCAACTCACAACATATACATATGCAGAAGAGATGTATTAACTGCTTCACCAGCTTTAGGAGACTACAATACCTGAACAACATAAACTCCCTGCTTACTTCACAGTAGTGTGCGGCAAGAACATACTTTCTTTTAAGGCAATTAAGAAGTAACAAAAAAGTTAAGGTGTATTTGTTTTAAAGGAAAGGAAGAATTGAAGTACCCACCTATTAATTATTAGATAAACACGGCCATTGACTTTGGCATGGCTATGAGGTGGGAGATGAAAGCACAAGAATGTGGGAGATGAAAATGGGAAATGAATTAGAGAGAGAGAAAAGGAAACCGTTAAATAGGAACGAATGCACTTTCCTGACTACCGAGAGACACATTGTCATAACAAAGCACGATATGAAAGCTTAAGATACACCATGCAGTAAAAATATAGGAAATAAAAATGCACTACTTCAATGTTTAGACCATATGAAACTTCAGTTAGAACTGCAGGTTCTTTTCATAGATCCCAGAATGTGAGAACAGCCTCTACTGCTGTATCAAGTAAGCCACAGAACGTTTTGCATATTTTAAATAGATACTTCATTTATTTGTTTTTTATTATTTAAAGGTGATTATAATGGAGCATCATACCACAGAACTTATCTGCCTCACAACCTTCATCTCTCACACACATAACTCATGGTGCAGCAAGGAAACAGTCTTGAGAAGACCTAAGCAGAGGATTTTTTTCCTTTGCAGATGTTAAATTAACCTTTATAAATCATCTTTATAAACAGTGAGAAGGGTCTTACCCTGCCAGTTCCAGTGTGCCAGTTTCTGTCCCCTCTATTTGCATCTGTCAAAGCCTTACTCTTGAACTCACTCTGCAAACTTTGCTCATGTGAAGCAGCATCTTAACACATGAACAGCCTCAGCAATTTTAACAGGACTCTTCAGTTAGACACAAACATAATATTATAATCATACATGGCAGTTCAGGAGCAGATGGAGGAACTGAAACTGCTTTCCCTTTTACTTTCATGACTAGCTCTCACCTGCTGTGGTTGTCTTAGCAAGTTCGCTGTTAAAAGGATTGAGTTCTGTCTGCCTACTCAAATTTAAGGTTCAGTTTCTCTATTCGTAATTGTTTGCTTGTTGCAAAAGAAGCAGCCTAAAAGCAGTTTTGAAAGCTAAACTAGCTGTTGAGTGAATGCTAGTGTTTTCAAAGCAAAAGGTGAAATTAATTTTCAGTGGCCTTGTAAGAAAATTGCACATATACATCATATGAGTCCTTAATCTCTGTTTTAGTTGTCTCTGCAACTTATTCCTAGAATTACTGTTAAGGTGGAGCTGGTTGTAATAGCTTCTATCCAGCTTCATGCATCATCTACACAAATGTCAGCTGAGCTCTCATCCTGATGCTTTGAAGTTTGCTGATGCTCAGCAGAGATTTATCGCATCAAGGGAAGAAAACAGCTGGATCTTCATACATCAGGCAGTGTTAATGGTAGCACAAACCAGAAAAAGTGTTCTGAATTGGGTACTGGACACACATATGAAATTTTCTAAGGAGGAACAAATGATACATGTAATAACTGTGATTTTACAACACTGCAAAATGGCAAATGTAGCATATATACCACATTTAAGAGTTAAAGACATCTAGCTACTTATCTGTCAGCTCAATACAATATAGTACACATTTAGACTTAAAAAAATAGCATTATAGTAGCAATAAAAAAAAGCTAATGCTATCGGGCGATCCTCTTCACCTGCCACTTTAGTAGAACGCCTGGTCCGACAATGGAATTCTACTTCCAGCACTGTATCTCAAGGCTGCTTACTCCATGCATGAGTTTTTGCTCTCAACAAGGCACTGAAAACATTTTGTGTCTTTAGTATCAGTGATTCCATTCTTTTGGGATCATGTGACTTTAGTCACAGGGATTCTCTTCATGCCAACATTTGGAGAGCTATACAATATTTTGGTATCCTTCATGTATAATAGAAAGATTTGCAAGTAGTGGTTTCACAGGCAGAGTGTACAGTACCATGAACCCTCCTAAAAGAGCTTGCACAGCTACTGCAAACTGTAATGCATTCCCTCACATGCCTCAGCTCAGGAAAAAGCCCTGTTTCAGCTCAGATACCTATCTGGGCTCTGGTTTCAGGGCTTGGCTGCCCAGATCAGAGAAGTTAATGTGCACCCGCTGCTGCACAAGAAGTCTGCTATAGGCAAAGAGAAAGTTTGCTCACAGGCCATTTCAAAGGGCTCTTGAATCTACCATCACATTTAGCAATTCAAGAAAAGCAAGAAGTATTATGAAAGCAGTCATTTAAAAAGCTAGGTTTAAAAACCCACATTGTTGGGAAATTTTATCAAGTTTGATTTGTTCTGGTTTTAGTAATTATTTAAATACAGAAAACGGAAGCATTCTATAGAAGTATAGCTTATTCTCATGCACTGACGATAGGGAACACAAACACAGAATCATAGAATCACAGAATGGTTCGGGTTAGAAGGGACCTTAAAGAGCATCTAGTTCCAACCCCCCTGCTATGGGCAGGGACCCCTTCCACTAGACCAGGTTGCTCAAAGCCTCACCCAGCCTGGCCTTGAAGACTTCCAGGGATGGGGCATCCACAGCTTCTCTGGGCAACCTGTTCCAGTGCTTCACCCGCCTCTCTGTGAAGAACTTCTTCCTGATATCCAATCTAAATCTCCTCACGTTCAATTTAAACCCGTTACCCCTTGTCCTGTCACTACAGGCCCTTGTAAAAAGTCCCCCCCCAGCTTCCTTGTAGCCCCTTCAGGTACTGGAAGCTGCTCTAAGCAGCCTTCTCTTCTCCAGGAGCCTTCTCTTCTCCAGGCTGAACAAGCCCAACTCTCTCAGCCTGTCCTCATAGAAGAGGTGCTCCAGCCCTCTGAGCATCTTCGTGGCCTCCTCTGGACTCGCTCCAACCGGTCTATATCCTTCTGATGTTGTGGGTTCCACAGCTGGATGCAGCACTCCAGGTGAGGTCTCACAAGAGCAAAGAGATGGGGAGAATCACGTCCCTCAACCTGCTGGCCACACTTCTGATACAGCCCAGGATACGGTTGGCTTACCATACACTGTAAAGTAGCTTCATACTAAACTGAATACTTGAAAAGTATCTGAAATGCTTTTGTAAATTTAGCAATTCTAGAGCAGAATCCTCTGTTAAGATAAACCGTCATTCCACAACACAGCGTGGTGTACGTGATACCATGCAGCTAGTCCTCATTCACAGAAGCACAGCTGAGTTACACTTAACATTGGACAGTTGAACACTCTAAAAATAGTGTCTAAATTAATTGGTTTCTTCAAAGAATTTGAGCAAAAGGCATTGTATAATATGCCCCTGTGTATTATGAAACCATTTCTCTCTTACACTCCTGAAGCAGGATCCTAGGACACCTATGTTTTTATGCAGGAGAATACGGAAGAGCTAAACACAGGAAAAGCGAGGTCCCAAATCATGAAAAAATGCTACTGAACTTCTTGATGAGATCACTGAATGTCTCCAAGAGCTAGCACAGAAAGGGTCAGTACTTTAAAGACTGACCACAGGTTTGGGATTCTATTTCCGAAGTTCAACTTTACAATAAGGCCTAATTGTACAATGCAATATGGTATTTGACAAAGATCTCCCAATCTTTGTTTGGTCTTCAAAACAGATATTGTAAAACATAAGTGACCCAAATTAAAAGCTGTATTTCCCATTATTGACAGGACTTACAAAAAGGCACACATAGCAATTAAGCATCTAACTCCCACTAAAGGTTAAAACCAATGAGATAAATACATAAATACCCTTACTGCCTATGGAAATGTTCCCCAAAATGTAAAACTTCAGTGTGTAGGGGAAAATATGGGAAGACAGATACTTTGGTTGTCATTTATTTAGCAGAGTGCTGGATACTGGAGCACCTTATTTTTAAGCCAGGTAGTTACAGCAAAGGAAAATAACTTTTCATGAAAAGTGAGCATTACAAGGCAGTCAGAAAGAACGTTTTCATACAGAAAATCAATAGCTCATTTTATTTTGTTTCTTTACCTGTAAATAGTGTTGTCCTGTTTGCTGGTTACAGCCTTTAAATCAGTGAGCTGGAGAAACCGGTCATGGAAATAGTGAAGATGTAAGATACACGCCAGGAGGAAGGAGGTGGGGATAAAGATGCGTGTGAATAGTTCAGCCACAGAAAACTGTTTTAAGCCAAGGTCTGCTAGTCTGGAAAAAAAAGTAAGCCACTAAGCCACCTTTTCACACCAAAATCTATTTCTTGTCATGAGACATTATTACAAACAATTTGCAATACGAAATAAGGGCTGGTACTTGTTATGTGGTTTTAGTTTTTAATATTCTTCTAAATCAGCAAGCTTTACAAATTTCCCTTGCATTTGGACTCAGTAATGTAGAGAGATACTGTAAATGCACTAAGTCAAGTGAACCAACTCTGACACAGAACCCTTGAAACAGATGAGTTGGCTCTGACTGGAAGTCTTGCACTGGAGACCCACTCATATTGAATATACTTTCTCATGTAAGCTCCTGTTAAGAAATGCCCAACGTATCGTAAGGAGGGAGAAACACAGCCCTCCTTAAAAGCAGGAAGGCATGTCTGCCTTCATCAGCTCCAGACATCCTGCAAACCTACCCATAACCTCTTCCCAGATCTTCCTCCTACGGTCAGAGGTAGAGAGGAGTATCGGCACTGTTACTGGTGCTGAGGTCTTGGCTGCACAGGAAATATGACCCTCTCAGACCCTTTCATGCCATTGCTCGTCTCTATTGTTACACCAGTAGATCTAGGGCTTCAGAGCTGAGCCAAGGCAGCCTGGGAATGGTCTCATGATGTTTTCCCACATAAGAAGGAAGACTGCTCTCAGAGCATTCCACCACACCGAACTCAAAAGTCCAAAGAAAAAATGAAACTAATCATACACACTTACTTGTTTTCATCCAGGCCTGTCATGTTCTTCCACAACCCAGGGAATGACTCAAACTGGTATGTATAGATGAAGATAAGTACCAACATCGTGTAAACAACCACTGACATCCAAAAGTATTTTAAAATCCTTCTCCACCATTCATAGTGCACCTGAAAATCACACACTAAAGATGTTGGAACAAGCTGAAGGCAAAGACGCTGACAAAAATACTGACAACAGGGTATTGGCAAACAAAGGCTAATATTTTTCCTAGCTGGCCTGAAGTAAACAATGCTTATCCAAAAGCAGACAGAGATTTTTGAGCTCCAGTTTTTACTCCTGACGGATGTGAACCCACACACAGACTTTTGAGTAAAAATGTCTGTTGGGACAAAGCCAGGGACAGCTTCAGTCACCCAGTTTCATCACCATTAGGTGATGAAAGTTCTGGAGGTGAGTGGGTCCATGCTCATCGGGGTGTGGAAGATGTGTGGACCAGTTGTCACAAAAATTGGTGGCTATGTAAGATGTGCATAGGCCCAGAATTTTCCCACACAGATTCCAAAGCTCGTGGTGATGTGGGGTGGAGTCCCAGAGCAGAGGTGTGTATTGTACGCATCTAATTGATGTGTACTTCGTCTGCCACTATAATCATAAGCCAAGGGAGAATTAGTCTTAACCCCTTCAAATGATCTTATTATGTTGTATCTAATTAAAGAAAACCACACTGTTTTGTAATTCTGTTTGGAGCTACTTTATAACCAAGTTAAAGTTATGAACCACTGTGTTCAGGACAAAATTCAGTTAACACAGTTCTCACCTGATAGAGGGCCACGCAGAAGAGGAACAGTACCATATAGATGATTTTGTACATGACAATTCTACCCTCAAAGCTGACAAAGAAGAACATGCCCCCACAGACATAAATCCAGTACTTGATGAACATAGCCATCACCAGCTTCCCCAGGACTTTCATAATATCCTGTTCATCCTCATCATCCTCTTCCTCCTCTTCTTCCTCCTTCTCCTTTTCTTTCTCCTTCTCCTTCTCCTTCTCCTCCTCCTGTTCTTCTGCCACTTCTCCTTCTTGCAACTCCTCTTCTGCAAATACAGAGTCACATTTGGGCTCTGTCTGTTTTGGGGACTTTTAGTAAGAATTGAAATGGGTGGAAAGTAAAATCTCTGCACACAGGAACTTAAACCACGATGTTCACAACAGACTGTATTTCTGAATCAACATGTCTCCAGAGCAGGGTGTTTTGACTTCATATGAGCTTCAAACCTGCTCCTAGAGCCATTGAGCACATAGTTATATGTCCTTACCAGATACCAGTCTTCATTTTGTCTGAAATGCAGGCAGCTGTAGTGGAAAATTAGGTAACACTCAAACCACTTTTCATGGCAATACCTATACCCTCAGGCAAGAAACCTTTTAAACTGGAAAACAAAGAAAAGAAACCACCAGCCCCACCAGAAACCTCTCATCTTCAGCTTAAACTATGTTGAGTTTGAACCTTTCATCTAAAGTTTCATCCTTTAGAGAATATTGTGGTTACCTCAAAAAACCACATGCAAGAGAAAACATTAACATAAAACCAAACAAGCTTAGAAAATATAAATGCTGCACTAACACTGTGTTTATCAAAGAAACTACCATCTTTTCCAGCTGCTTCTGCTGTACCTGAGCCATTACAGAAAATACACGCTGCTTTTGCCCTGTGAGGAGGTCAGGATTCCTCAGTTATTAACCTTGTGAGGTTTGTGGAGGGCAGGGTAAGTGTCCCCCACAACAGCAAGTACCCAGAAGCAAGTATCCAGTAACAAGGCTTGTCAAACTCATAGCACATAGCTGTAATGCTTTTCTTCATACTGAGAACAATATGGAGACTTCACCACCCAAAGACTTGCCGGCTCCTTTTGTCCCACTCCCCATCCCTCTTCTCAGACTCTTTCTTTGCTCTTGCCTTGCAAACCTTTGCAGTGCCCAGCTCTGACACTGATCAGAGGTTTTACTGAGACAAATATTGTAATGACTCAAACAGGAAGTTACATCACTGCTTCCCAGGCTGCTTTCTACAATTTCAGTGAGTTAAACTTGTTCAGATCAACCTCCAAAGAGACAGAAAAGGGCAGGAAAGGTTTGGGGGAACATGTGCACAGTATTAGAAGAGAGAACAGGCCACCAAGCTGTTAGATGAGCTGAAACTACGTGGTAAACTTTGCTCTCAGGTGTGCTTCTGACAGCAATCAGTCCCTGAAAATATACATGTTCATTTTCATTGCAGTTCAACAGTAAAGAGAATTCTCATTTTATTTGCATTTCTTAAATTCAAAGGTGCTTTATTTTCATATCCAGAGAAATAATTGCACATAGATTTTGTAATATCTTCCTTAGCTAGAAACAGGTATCTTGCTAATTGCTTTTGGCATTACAGATATGCAGTAATGGGAACTTCTATCATGACCAAAGGACTAAATCGGACATGGCTTTACCTTTTTCTTCACTGTCTTCATTTCCAACTTTGACCTCAGATAAAGTAGCTTCTTTTAGTTTAAGTGCTTTTTGTTCAGTGAGGTGTTGCCTAAGCAGTAGCCAGAATGTAATTGTGAAAAGAATCTGCAAACAAAAATCAAAACAAAAACAACAGATTAGTTGTATTTCTTGTATCCTGCTAATACAAACATATGTTTTCATAAAGTCTGCATGTCTTTGTTTTCTCTCTCCATTAGAAAATGGCAACAATGGCATCAGTGTCAAAGTGCATCTTTGTGGGAGTTCAGTAATTTAGGAAAAGTCCTGCATTAAAATCAACTTTACTTCATTTGCACTTTTCCATTCAGAAATAACTTTTCACTGCACATCTTTTTTTTATACCTATATGGTTTGAATCTCCCCCTTCTATTCAGTGTTTATCTCCTGCCTCATAAGTTTAAGGATCTTCTCATCATATATTGATTTATTTTTTATCTGTCCATTTTTCCCTTTTTGCAGGGAAGAAGCACAGGCAGGTGAGTGTACGGTTATTATTAGGGTTTGGTATATATCCTTCGTCTTTGATTTAGGAGGTGTGGTACTTCAGGTGTTTAAACACAATTAATTTAAAAATCAACAATCTCCTATGTCTTTAGGTTACAGGACAAAGTCAACTGTATATGCCTTGTATTTGGAACAGTTACAAGATTTAAAATGGCTCTTAATTCTTTGAAGAGCTTTAAGAGATGGTAATTCTATAATAACAGGATAACTTATAAATAAATAAATATCTTTAATGAAGACTGCGTTTCTGTGTTGTGCAAAAAGCTAAATTCAACATCTTACAATACTGAGAGGTGGCCAAAGTTCAGAAAACATCATGATGCGTATTCACGACGATTTTAAGTTAACATTCTGAAAAGTTTCCACTGATTTCAGTGGTGCAGAACAAGGGTTATTTCATTACTTTATAAGCCAGAAGAATAAAATCTCAGACAGGAAACACCTAAGAGCCAAGTATTTTGCATACAATAGACTGACAAGGCCTGTAGTACAACATAAAGAACTCATCTTTTCCATCTAACGTGCAAGTACTTCATGGGGGACAGAAGTGCCAGGCTGGTGACAGCAGTTTTCACTGCCTCTGTGGCTGACATGGAGCTGCAGCAGCAGATTGGCAGGCTCTGTGAATTCTCACAGCTTCTCCAGATTGCTCCTGGAGCTCTGGCTTTTGCAACATAAACCACTGATATTGTAAAACGGATTTGTTATGCAGTGGTTAGCTCCATCTCCCCGCTGCATTTACACCTGGTTCTCATTGGCATTTCCAGAGTCAGAGCTGGCTCTAAGAAGTCTCGAAGGATTGCAGATCAAAGAAATGCTTTTAGTCTACCTTTTACAGTTTCCATTTTATTTCTTTTTCAGATCAGGAAACACTGACATAGCATGCAGAAAGAGTAACAGTACATTTCTTTCTATGTTCTTCTCTTCGCAGAATACAGTATCCAATCTTTATTTAAATTCAATCTTTATCCAAAGGGCTTTAAACTAGGAATAACGGGGAGGGACAGAGTTACCAGCAGCCTTGAGAGGGAATGATGGACAAGGCTGAGAAGCAAAGAGCACCTGGAGTGATGTGAACAAAAGGAAACATAATCGACAAAACAGGGCTGATCACCTCAAGTATTTGTTTGTAAGCACGGAAATGCTTTCAAGGCAGCATCACAGGGAAACCTTCCAGATCCTTTCTGGGAAATCAGCATGCTGTGTGGCTCTGAAGTGCCTGTACACTAATGTGTGCAGCATGGGGAATGACGCTAAGGAATCAGACACTTCTGCGCAGGGCTATGATCTTGTTGGGACCACGGAGACAGGGTGTGATGGCTTGCACAGCTGCGATGGAGAGATACAGGCTCTGTAGGAAGCAGGGGCCAGGAAGATGCAGAGGTAGAGTTGTGATCTGCATGAGAGCACAGTGGAAATGCATGGGCTCTACCTGGGGATGGAGGATGAGCCAGGTAACCTGGCAGGAATACACTGGCAGAGCATGCAGAGATATGATTAGAAAAGCCAAGCCCTGACATTGAGTCTGGTGAGGCAGGGCAAGAGCAACGACAAGAGCTTCTGTAAGTCCATAAGCAGAAAAAGGAAGGCTAGGGAAAATGTGTGCCCACCTCTGAGTGAGACAAGGGCCTTGGTGACACAGGACATGGAAAAGGCTGAGGTACCAAATGCCTTCTTTGCCTCAGTCTTTGCTAGCAAGAATGGCCTTCAGGAATCACAGGTCCCAGAGAATGTGGAAGTCTGAAGGAAGGAAGACATACCCTTGCTGGAAGAGGATCAGGTCAGTGAATACTTAAGCAAATTGAGCATACGTAAGGCCATGGGTCCTGATGGGATGTGCTTATGAGTGCTGAGGGAGCTGGCTGATTTCATTGTAGAGCCAACTCTCAATAATCTTTGATTGATTGTGGTGACTGGGAAAGACGCCAGAAGACTGGAGGAAAGCAAATGTCACTCCTATCTTCAAGAAGGGCAAGAAGAAGGGGGAATTACAGGTCAATACTGGATCCAGTATCCAGTTTTAGATGAGATATTTGATGATATCGCTAATAAGAAACAATGTCAAAGGTGCTGACGTATTAAGACAGTTAAAACTCCTAAGGGATTTACAAAGTCATTGAGAGAAACTGCAGAACTTCCCTTGCAGAACCTCTTGAGCGCTCTTACTAAACTAGCTCTACCTTTATGAGAGAAATAATACAGCACTCAATAATTTTCAAATGCATTAAAACCCCAGAAATGGTTGTCCAAAGGGCACTGCCAACAAGGAATCACTTACAGAATCACCTTAAATGATAATTAGGAGACACAAGGGAAGTGATTCACTTAGCAAAAGGGGAGCAGTGCCAACTAGATGCACTCTCTGAGACGCCCCTCTTGGGTGCTCTAGAAAGCAACTTCCTATTTATGCTCATTTCCTTCCCCAGGAGCAAGCCTGCCAAACAAAATGAATTTTGCAGGGCTTTCAAGACATCAAAGAAAAAAATCTATCACGCACTGAGGTCAACAAACTCTCATTTCTGACCTGAAATGGATTCCAACTCATGCTGCTTCATGTGTAAGGGTAAAGAATTAAAGCCCAGTCACAGTCACTTACTGCTGCTTGTGCCAAACAGTAAGGGAGTGAGTAGTACTGGCTATTGCCATGACACCACAGTTCCAGCTGACATCATGTTCAGTCAAATCAAATCACATCTAGTTTTGCATTCAGTTTATAAAACCACACAAGTGAGCAATTTCCAGCCTCTAAGAATTTTCTACAGAATTATAATGAAAATCTACAAAGATATCCAAAACATTTGTTTTGGTATCAGCATAACAAGCAAGAAGAAATTTCCTGAATGCTATTTTTTAATGAGTTATCCTTTATTGTAGAACACCTACTGAAGATGACTATACTGAATACTGAGGATTCACTCTTAAAGAAAGAGGTTCACAGTTTTAATCACAATATAGTTTGTGGTTTCATAGATAAATCTCAGCTGTTTGTAACACCTACCTTTGATGCCAACTCCCCAGGATCCTTTCTTTCTAAAAAACCAGATACTTGAGGAAGCTCATCATTCCTGAGCTCAATACTCCATATATACTGCAACGTTAGCAGTAAATTTCCATAGAAAACCATGAACGGTGAACTGATCATGGCATATTTCCTTCGGTCCCGAATCATCCACAACGTGCAAGACCAAATCAGTAACACAAAAGTCAACCAGCTGTGATAGGTGATACTCCATGCCTTGTGGAAGGAGGAAAGAGAAGAAAAAATGTTCATGGATACATTCAGGAATGACACTGATGCATATTGCCAGTTGCACTTAATTATGCTTCTCTACTTAGCACACATTTTCATTGTCATGAGACTCTCCCCCATATTAATCAGCTGTTGGGCTAGCTAAAATAAACCCTTTGGAGAAGCGCAGAAAGTGGATCCTTAAGAAGTCCACAGCTGAGGGCAAACCTTGCTTTGCACATTAACTGCCACTTGGTAAGGTTTGTAAGCAGACTCATTGATTCACGTTCCACCAACTTAAAAGAGATGAAAAATACAATCTAACTTTTGTGCACACGAGTTCTTCTTGCAAAATGAGCAGCAAAGGATTCAGAGTAGGAGGAGCAAAGTATATTCAATAGCTACTAGGTTCAAAGCTGTTGACAGATGTACAAACTACACTAACTCCATCCTGTTCTAGCTTTTGTGGAATCAATTTAAAAGGGAAATCCATGCTATGCACACGCCTAACCTGAAGAACGTTCAGAGTCTACACTAACCGTGTTAGATTACCTGAAATACTCACAACTACAGAATGTTATCTATAGCTTAAAATATCAGTTACTGAAAATTGCTCTATTAAACACTCAGAGAATAGGACTAAGGTTTCAAGTGTTTTTATTAACATTGTGTTATCGATTTAGGACTAAATTCAGCTATACGCTGGTAGAGTTGTAGAATAACTGTCAATAAAACCTTTTAGATTCCTTTTCAATTTAAATAGAAAAGTATGAAACATTAAGAATATTTCAATCAATTTAGTTCTGTCCCCTTGGAAATCATGCCTTTTAAGGGTATGTGAAAAACTTTAATATGCTGCTTCTCTCTCCCCATATAAGGAAATAACTTACACTGAGCTGTCTTTGGCTATCACCTAAGTGGAACTTGCATCAGATCACACCATAAATAAATTCATAAATTAATTTGGGTCAGATAAAATAGGCATATATGATTAAGAAAAAAGTTAGTAGTGTTTCAATGTTAAACTACAAGAAGAGTCTTCAAACGTATCTTTTCCTTTGAATTGAGAGACATGATCCTAGAAATTAATTAAAAAGGAAATGCAGATCATATGAAGCCTCTGAGTTTAAAAAATAGGAAAAAGAAGCATTGTGTCAATATGAAAAAAATACTTGCTAATATGGCAGAATGCATCAAGCCAGATCCTTCTGCACAAGGAGTCTGCTGTAATTACCTGAAAAACTTTTCCTGTTAAAGGACAGCAAATAAAGTTTGAAACCTTATGCAAACAAGAAGCAGCCAAGCTAATTTGTTTTACCATTTTAATGCAAAATTGGGCCAAGAAGCTTTATGGTTAATTTCATCGCAGTTGAAACTTTTCCAAAACAGTAAAACCAAAGCCTGCACTGGGAATATATAGAGATCTAATCATTATGCTGAATACTTGCTATAGTGCAGATCAAGGTATTTGCATCAAGTAGGCCTAAAAGCAAGCAACAACATGAGAAGGAGAAATAAGGGTGGTAGGTAAAACAACAGCAAAATCTTGCTTGGCATGAAGTTGAATTTTCCTTGAGACCTTTCTGTGTCAATACAGGAATTCATCTCCTCATCGCAGAGAGTGACTGCATGCATACTTCAACCTGACACAGGAACTGTATTTTTTAAATTTACTACATCAATGTGAAATGCTTTAATTTTGTAGGCAAATTTCTGGGTGGAGCAAAAGTTTGATAAACCTGCTTACGCAGAAGCTTTGGAATCAACAAAAAACTGAGTCCCAGTGGTTTTCTGACATTCAATAGTCAACAAAACCCAGGACTCCCAGTCCTAGAGGATGCGATGCTTTACCCAGAACCCCACGTATTGCCCTATTTATAGGTCTATAACAGGCCTGGGAATGATGCACTAATAAACCAAAATGAACCCAAAATGATGCAGACAACATACTGATCTTTTCTAATCCTGATGCAAACACTTACTGAAAACCAACCAATGAGACTACCTGCAGGAAAACATTGTGAAGACACATTTATTTGTAAAATTAACAGCTTGTTGTTGTTGTTGTTGTTGCCAGTACGTACCATCATAGCTATCAGAGCACAAATGTAACTTTGTTTCATGATAAATTGGAACACAGACACCAGGGCATGTAATTTAACATTTTCTTTTTCCTCCTGAGTAACTTCTTCCTCTTCCTCCTCCTCCTCCTCTTCCTTTTCTAAGTAGAAAAATAAATTCTTATTTGCAATTCATGCTGGTCTAAAAGCAGTAGATGCACTCTCCCCTGGAACGCTTTCACTTGTAATCACTCTGATGGCTACTTCTACAGCAACCAGCATGCTCCAGATAGGAGCCAAAGAAAAATTACTTTTGAGTACAGTAAAGCAACACAAAACCCGCAATCACTGTTTGGTAGGGAGAGCATGTGACTACAGCTCAGTGTACAAAATTGCTGTGTGGTCAGCCATCACTGTAAGGCGACAGCAATTATTTAACTTCAACAGGCTAAACAGCTTACCAAAATGAAAATAAATGCTAGTGTATGCGACTGGAGATACAGAGTAAGAAAAGGTATGGAACTAAGGGTAATTCCCAGACAATTCACTACCTGACATGTCATCCGACGGCTCCCATTTGTACTGAGGTGTTGAGTACATGTCTGCTTTGCCCGGACCGTTCTCTAATGGCAGTGTGGGGTGGATGGTGTGATAGTCAGCAGGGTTCCCGTTCACTGTTACCAGCAGCACCTGCCAGGACAACCGAGAGAGGCACTGCATTTATGGTAGCTCCTAGGACACCGTGGCTCCTACGTCTGTGCTTCATTACGGTTGGATTGCCAATTTAAGGAGCTTAACAAGTAACCACAGTTACTTCCTTTCAAAGAAATGGGCATGTTATAGTCATGTTGGATGCAAAAGTAACACGTAACAGCTTCCAAACTTAACTGTTGTTAGCTTTTTAAGCAGTAACAATAGAATTACAAATCTGTTTCAGTGAAGTTCTTTAGCAAACACAAAAATGCTGCTGCAACTCTGAACTTCTGTAAATAGTTCCTTTAAAAGATTTCAAGGGGTTTTTTTTCAAATTCCCAGTATGTCACACTGCATTAGGTAACACATCAATTTACACACAAGCAGTCTGAAAAGGAATAAAAGTGCCGATACACAAGCAAAAGCGATTAAGTTACTGCAGTCAGCTGAGCCATGGTAAATGACTATTTGCATGCTCTTGGCCTGTCCCACCTATGAAATTAAACAGAAAGGAAAAAAGTGTAAAGGAGGACTAAGTTAGCACATCTACAGCTGGGGAAGGGTAAGGTCGACCACATGGCTCAGTGCATGAACAGCAACTCTGTGAGCCCATCTTCAGATACCCTGCCTTTCCCAGGTTAAGTTGGATTTTACAGCCAAGCTAGGAAAGTACTGTATCTCCTGTGTTTAAGTTAAAGCTGTAACCAAAAATGCATCCTCCTCCTTATGCCAACTAACATGTCAAGATTTTCAGACTTTACATCCAATTATTTAGACATGTACATTAGCTCATACCTAACTATTCCCAGTAGTTATTAAAATAGTGTTTATAAATTACTTTCAATTTCAAATTATTGCTGGTGAGATCTACATTTGCTGCCATTAATAAAACTGCTTGTGATAATATTGTTATTGATGCTGCATTTATGCCATTTGATAGTACTAATTCAACACTAGTTTTATTTTTGTGAATAAATTTCAGCCCTTGGGCTTGTTTGGATTAGGGCTCCAGCAACCCCAGTCATAAATATCTCTCGTATTGGCAAAAATTCACATGCAATGGGTTACTGTTGGTAGCACGTGCTGAAGACTGACTTCTTAGGCTGTGAGATAGGAGTGTATTTTGCCTGTTGAAACTATGCACAGGCATGTGTGGACTGTTTCAGATCAGTATCTGGGTTATGTTCAGTTATATTCAGCATCTACACCAAGCATATGCTGTGGAGCACATTTAGCTTGCTCCCAAAGTTCATCTTCATTCTTCTGCGTAGGCTGAACAGAGGGGATGTTTCTGCTTTCAGAGTCTGCTAGGGTCTGTAGCAGTCAAGACAAATAGATCATTTGCTGTCTGTTCAAACAAAGACTTGGATTTTCTGTAATCTGTAAATTGAACTCAGATGTGTTGTCAGTCATGCTTTAAGGGCCTCAGCATTTCAACACGAATAAAAGAAAAAAAATACAGCAAAGAAAATAAATCAAGTGTAAAGATGGCTTGCATTAGAAAGCATATTTTGATATCTTATTTAAACCCAATGAAATAGCAAAGATCGTTTGCCAGTTGGTACTACTACAAGCAGTTTAATTTCAAATGATCAATTTTAGGGCTAATCAGTGGTTTCTCAGTGCAATTACTAAGGAAGCAAAAGACAATTATACTTAGGATAATGGCAGGCTAACCAAAATAAAGAATTTTTAAATATGTCCTCTAAGGTTTTATCTGTATATATCGTTGTAATCTGTATTTCCACACATTAAAAAAATTACAAAGACTAGTAGTATACTAACATCCGATGGCTTGTATTCATCTTGGGTCATTGACAGAAGCTGCAAAAAGCAATGCAAGGACAAATTATTAAAGCATGGCTCAAGCATTAGTAAGTCTAACTTCTTGAATACACGCATGCATAATTGCTGACTTTTGCATACTTGCACTAAGAAATTCAGAAAGAATTCTTAAAAAGCCAGCAGAATTGTACACTATCTCCACAAAAATGATATGTAGTGTGCCATAGCATTGACGTAACTTTACTGTATGTTCCTGTGAATTCTAAACCAAAACTGAGAACATGGCATTGAAATTTGAGATACAAAGAATTAATCAGTATGGCATTATACTGATTAACTGCTTTCTAATGTCTTTTTAATGACTCAATGCTTAAAACCTACGTTTTTTAATGATCATTAGAATTACTGCAATTATAAAAATACTTCCAATAAAATGTTTATACTAACATAAAATGTGATACTTCATTTATTCGCCAGCTCATTTACCATTACTATTATTACGACGGAGTTCTTGGGGCTTGAGTATACGTGGCTCCACAGTGTTTGCATATCCCAAATGTGACTGCAACTCATCAAATGAAATTTTGCACTGCAGCTGCTGAGGGCAGATGGTTGAAAGCTGGACCTTTCCAGGAGCTTTTACACCAACTGCCTTAATGGCCCTGCTATAAATATCCAGTATGCTTGGAGGAAGATAAGCTGGCAGTTCCCCCTTACCAATGACAGTGCTAATTAGTACTTACAAGGCAGATCAGATGTAAACATCAGGATTTAGCTCCCTGACAGACTTTCTAGCTGTTCTGCACAAAGAAAATGGCCTTCTGCCAAAAGCCTGGTCCTAAACTTCTTAAATGCAGAACTTGAAAACATAGAGCATGCTCTTCCTTTACTTCCTTACACTGGCTCTTATATTTGTTTTATTAATTTTATCAAAATATATTCCTCCTCTGCCACACAGACTTGATATTGTATCTGATTTATATAATCACACACAAAGATTACTTGCAACCTAGATAATGCTGCTTCCCTTAATTTCAAAGTAACTGTGATAAAATTAAGACTGATTGAAACACATTTAATGCAGACCCCCTTCCCCCTTCAGCCTTACTTTTCTCTCATCAGTTGTATAGTGGCTTGCATACCACAGACTGCGTCTTCTCTCCGCTGTCATTGGAATTGGGCTGCAGGCTAATTCTTTGTCATCTTCCCTGCTAACAGATTTTTCTTCATCAGGCGTCTGCTAAACAATACAAATGACAAGACTAGTTATAGCTCTCTAAATAACAATCTTACCAGAGGAATTTAAATTTTCCCCTAATTGACGCTCCCTCTCCAAAGTATGTCTTTAAAACATCTTTTAGCCTCTAATGCACTCAATCTATGATAGATGATTCTTACTGGGATGACATTTTCAGAAATGATGACAGAGCTTTTCTATAACTGCTAGTCTGTCAATGCCAAGATGTTTCCTGACAGTTACAAGACACCAGAATTACAGAGATCTCCACATCCTACCTTATTATATAGTCATACCATAAGCTAGTATACAGATGTTTAATTTTGAAGGCAGTGTATTGAAAGAAAATTCACTCTTCTCATCTGCCTATATATGTGAAAAGCTATTTCTTCACTAGACAACTGAAGAACTGAAAAGATCAAAATCTTTTGAGTGTACATATCTACCATTAAAGGCTGTCCTAACTCACTGATCAGTACGTAACAAAGTATTCAGTGTTGGTCACTCATCCAGGCTCATCTAACTTAGCTTCTGAGACAAACCACAAAAATACCTACATGTGCTCATGCTCATATGGAGGCCAACATGACTGGAAAATCCCAATATCAATTTTCCAAGGGTAATCTGATTGCTCTTTATGCTGAAACTGAATCAGTGGAGGAAGGGAGAGCTATGGATGTCAGCTACCCTGATTTTAGCAAGGTGTTTGATACAGTGTCCCACGCTATCTTCGCTGACAAGCTGGTAAGACACGGATTGACAGATGGGCCACAAGACTATCTTGCTCAAAGCGGGAAAATGGCTCAAAGTCAAAATGGTAGTCAGTCATGAGCGGAGCTCCTCAGGGACTGACAGTAGTTCTGGTACTATTGAGTATCTTCAAAACTACCTGGATGGAATGCACCCACCCAAAGGTTGCGGGTGACACTGAACTAGGAGGTGAGGTAGATGGGCCAGAAGGTAGAGCCACCATACAGAGGCAGGCTAGAGACGGGCCAACAAAAAACTGCACAGGGTTTACAAAGATCATTATGAAGTCCTGCCTCCAGAATAAACCCACACAGCAGTAAAGGCTATGGACAGACTGTGTAGGGAGCAGCTTGTGGAACAGGCCCAAGGGGTCCTGGTGCACCGCAAGCTGAACATGAGCCAGTAGCAAACTCCAGAGGCAATGAAGGCAAACACGTCCTGGGCTGCATCAGCAAGAGTACTGCCAGCAGATCAAGGGAAGTGATTTCCACTGTACCTGGCAAGTGTCAGGCCATACCTGCAATTCAGTTCTGGCATCCCTCAGTTTAAGAGAGACACAGAAAATCTGGAGAGGGTCCATCAGAAAATTGCCAAGATGATTATAGGGTTGGAGAAGCTGAAGAATACAGGAATTGGGTTTGTTTTCCACCCCCCCCA